TATAGGGAAGGCAAGAGAAAATTAAGTGTACTCTGGGATCCCTGGAATCTCTACTGTAAATTTATAAAAGATTGATGTAACAATGTTTGCTTCATATAAATGTTAGTATACCAGTGATATAGTTTGAAGGATGGTATAATTTTTTGTCTAAAAATAGTATGAAATAACCTGTTAAAGATGTTTTGTAAAAAGCTTATTACATATGTGTCAGGCAAAATCATTTTCTTCCCTTTTAACATAATGATCCCTCATGAATATGAACCATAGTATTTGCTAAAGTTGGGGAACCAATTTAACTGTCAAAATCAGACACCATCCCTGTCTCAAACTATAAGGTTTATATGTATTGAACAGTTTGTAAATCCCATCAAGAAAATGTTTCACACAAGGCACTATTTACAAAACCTTGACCTATGTAGGAAATGAGAATCTTCTCTCTTTAATGTATGTGTATATCTTCAGAAATTTTCAGATGGCTTTCAGTGACAAGCACCACTGGTACGTTTGTTTTGTATATATTATATCTTCAGGAAACTTACATGTACTATAGATGTTCGTGTATTTTGTCAGAAGAAACATGGGTACAATGTGTGAAACCCATTTCTGGTGTCCCCCGCCGTGATGTTGCTGGAATATTGCTAAAAGCGGCGTAAAACCAAACTCAGTCAGTCAGTTGTCAGAAGAAATGCTGTCTTTCCTTTGCATGTGTTTGGGCCAGGATACCCTTACTTTTTTGTGAACATCTGGTACCATCACTTTTTAATAATGATTCTTAAGCACTAACTTGGATACAGTCTGAATCATACAATCTGCTTTTAGCAGATATTTCTTGTGACTACAGAAAGGGTTTTGATTTTGATGTTTTAAGTAGTGACTTATGTCAGTCTAAGACTTTGTCTACCGTATATGACTGACTATAAGTCGGAAATTTGATACCTGAAAAAGGACCTAAAAAATCAGACCCGACTTATAATTGAGTTCATTAATCTACCCCAAAATTCCAGAGGTCAGGTGAGTGAATCTGCCAGCCCAGCGAACTCAACTGGCAATGTTTACACCTGAAGCAGGAAGCATATACGTACTGATGTTTCCCAAGGTAAATGACATCATGGGACAAATAAAACATAAAATATAAAATTTTGTTGTTTGTCTTTAATAAAATATATTTCATAATATTAACGTTAAATTAAATTTAATCAGATATTTTGATCACAACTATTTACTTACTTTGTTATCGATCGATAAATTTGGGCCACGTGACACGACTTGAAAGAAAGTTTCACGTAAAGTAAACTTCTTTGTATTCTGTGGGAGTTTTGTGTGATGGTTTTGAAAAATACTGTTAATAATTTAATAAATACTAGAGATGATATTAATCAAGAAATTACATCGAAGTCAAATATCTGTGTCACATGATCAGTCTCGGTTGTACAGTAGCGTTCACTCAATGCATCCCACACAATGCGTGTTCCCAACTGAACAGTTTTGAAGCACATTTACAGAAATATTTACACATCATAATTTCCACATCAAACAAATTTGAATCTCGTAACGTTTATATGATGTGTTTTCAATGATAGTTGGTCTTTACACATACGCTCACTTTTTAAACAAAGTCGAAAAACATTTCACACAAACACAACCTTTCTTGGTTATGTAAGGCTTCTGTTGATTGGCCTTTCATTTTATCATTAGCCAGTTAGAAATCTGCTCTCAAAATAAACAAGTTTCAGGTATTGAACATGCTTGAACATGCTTTTACAAAAGATAACAAACACGTGTTTACGTTCGTCATATTACAGTGTTGAACAGTCACGACGTTGATCTACCCAATACCAATACATACGGGGAAAGGGGTCGACTTATATTTGAGTTACATGGTTTTGGCAAGAATTTAGAGGGTTGAGAAAGGGGCCCGACTTATAGTCAGATCCGACTTATAGTCGGTCATATACGGTATATATGATATACTGTGAGCTGCACACAAACTGAGTTAGTGAATAATCTGAATCAAGTTCACCATGACTGCCTATTTACCCTAGCTTATTCTATGCTACTGGAAAGAAGAGAAAGATCACCATATTATGTCATTTATGATGGGTATTTGTATTTAGGGTGCTCCTTAACTTGTTTTGAGTTGTATACATAGCCACCTTGATGATTCCATCAATTAAAATTCTGGGTTTAGATTCTGTGCAGTCTCACCATTTGCAACGCAGGTAGATTTCCAGAAATATGTATAACTCACCATATGCATTCTACAGCAAAATGTAGCATACTGATGTGTTTTTCTTCAAAATATATGTGATGAATGCAGAAAAGAAAAATGAGAAAAACAGTAACAAATGGATGACATCTTGTCTTCAATACCAAGCAACAAAACTTGACAAGTCTTTCACAAGTCAAATTCGGAAAGCCAGTATTGCAACCATATTTGTTGTTGTTTCATCAATTCCTTCATTTATCAGCTGGTTTGCTGAAGACCCAGGTTAGTTAACATGCCTTTGGCATTTTTATGGGAATGATTATTCTGTCATATTTGCAGTTTTACAAATGATATTTTGGCTAGGTTTTTTGATTGTTAGAAGTAATTGATTTCGAAATAAGGCCCCCAAGAAGAGGAACTGCCACAGGAGAGATGAAGTAATCGTATGTTGCAGCATCAACTGATAGATATTATGGCCTGTATAGTCATCAAAGAGCTGCAGAATCGATAGAAACTGCAGAGAGTTGTCGGGATTCAACAAGTTCTCAGCCTTTGTGATTGAGGGGCTTCTAGAAAATAATTGCTATTTCATATTCACACAGGGTAAGAATTACTTTTTGAGTCTCAATATAAATCTAGTTCTGTTAGGCTTGAATTCTATAATTGTCAACTTTTGTTTACACATATTTAAGATTTAAACATCAGAACTTTGTTTTGAGCATATTGTTCAGCACATGATGAGATTCACACAACTGTTTTGACAGAGTTTGTTATTTTCCATGGAATGATTTTCATAATAGGCAACACGCTTTCTTTAGAAATGCACCCGCTGTCTTCGAGTGGCATTTATTCAGTAAATACATCATAATCAAAGACAGGAAAAGTGCAATTTCCTCATAATTTGAGGCCTTCATGGAAGAGACGTTACATTTGCATTATAACAACATCCATCAAAAGCATTCCGTGTTGCATTGGTTTGGGCAGGGCAATCATATTCCCCTGTATGAAGTAGGCCCTGAACAGGAGTATGCAGAAGGTATTGATTTCAAATTTGAAAGATAAATTCCTCAATCACGCTGCCATGCATATGGAACTGATGGAGTAATGCACGCAGTTTTAATGCCATATTATTTACTGGTGCTCTCTGTACAGAAGGATGTGGCCCAGGATTTGTCACTCATCACAAGATCTATCTTATTTGAGAGAATTTAATATTCAGCACAGTTCCCTTTCCCTGACAGCCTGTTTTTTGTGGGTTTTCTTACATGTGCATTAAACTTAATTTATATTTGAATGAGTAAGGTTTATAAAATTACATTTATGTAAGAAAATGGATAATCTGCTCCATGTACAGGGATTGAGTGACATTATTTTGTTGCAAGTCTATATTTTTTAATAAGCAGTTTCTTATATTGCAAAAAGTTATATATACCTTCTTAGGGTATAAATTATATTATATAACATCACTGCCTGTCTTGATTATTCAATATAATAGATTCCTTTCACACAAACATAATGTTTCCCTATTCAAGATATTTAATACTCTTTGATATTCGCAAGGGTGAGAATGGAAAACTTGGCAGGTAAAATCAAATAAATTAATGCTTCAGGTACCACAGTGTTTGAAATTCAAATTAGTTAAGAGCAATAGAGCATCATGACATCTTCATGTTAAATCCGAAGTCCGAAATGGTGAAGTCAAATTGCGATAATGAAGACAAAGTACACGTGTTAACTCAAGTCAACAAGCAATTAGTCCAATATTCTGTGAGCTTTGATTTCAAACTGCATAAACAATACATGCCACGACTAGAAAGATACAAGGACTGTGTTCCCATACATGAAAGCAGACCTACGCTTTGTTGATGAAGCTAACACGCTTCCCTGGGGTACATGGCGATTGTTTGTAGAACCTGTCATCCTGCAGCCAGACATCTTCCAGAAGAGGAGAAGGGACAGTGTTTAGAGGACTATTGTCTTTCAGTCTATTTTAGGCATTCATTGGAATACCATCTTCTTGTAGTGTCTGTCACGGATAACAAATGTGCCAACAAGATTAATCAGATTGTGAGTATGAAAGATGACTGGTAGTTGATCAACGGATAGTGAGACTGAAATACTGTCGGAGGAACCCATCTTGTCTTTGTGACCTGTTTATTGTGGGAGGGAGTTGGAAACTGTTACCATGACTTCTGTCTGGTGTCAGTCAGAGAGTGTTGTCGGTATTCTAGCTATCACTGCTGCCTGTAAAGAAGTTTGAACCAGACGATCCAGTGACAACAGCAGGAACAATCATATACATATTCTCATAGATTCTGACCAACTGATCCTCTTTGAACGCATCTGCCAACAAAGGAGATGGATACTTCACTGATGTTCCCTAAGAGTTTGAAGGATCAACCTCAGAGTTCATGGATCATAAACTAACGACAGCCTTAGTGCTTTGCCACATAATCCCAATAGCTCACCTTCAGGGGAAATGTTTCCTTATATAGTCTACTCTGCAAGGAGGTATATCTGTCTACTGGTGACCGTACTTGTGTAGTGTATACAAGGGTATGTCTGTCTGTCTACTGTCTATGTTTCAGCCTCCAACTACTGTGTACAGAATGCAAGAATATGGAATAACATCCCTTACAAATTATTTGAAGCTAACATGTCTTCATCATCATATTTTGTCTTTCAGAAAACTGCTGTAGTTCTTGTTTGCAGAGTGACTACAACAAACTACAGAAATATTTACACCCCTAACACAGTTAAAATCTGAAAACTAAATATGTTTTGTATTTTCCAGTTTACTGAATGCTGATTGGGTGAGGGTATAGACGGAGAAAGTGAGGCATCGTCATCATGACGATCCACATACCTGGCCTCATCGCTATTATCCTCTTCTATGCGCTTATCCTTGGGGTAGGATTATGGGCCGCCGGCAAGTCCAAACAGTCGGGTGCCACAGCCGACAGCGAGGATGTGATGTTAGCGGGGCGGAATATAGGTGTACTAGTCGGAATATTTACTATGACAGGTAAGATTGTCAAAATAGATGTTATTTATTGCTGACTTTGACCCAAGGTTAAGTGAGTCTGATATTTCATGGCCTGCTTGTCTGGCATCTTTCATTCGAGATCATTCTTTTCCATGTAGCAATTCTGTTGGACCAGTTTGCCCCTTGATTGGTTTTGGAAGTGATGTCCCCGTCTCCATTTGTCTTATCTCTATAAAATGTTTCTTACTCAGAAGATTGATTTGTTTGGATGGTCATTGGTCTTTTGAATCAGGCTCAAAATGAAACTTTTGTATTCAGAGTATCTATAACAAACTGTAGACCCTCTCCATGGGTCTCTTGTCATGCCATCAACTGTGGCTACTTGTTGGCCATTTTCAGAAGTTGCTGGGCTGGTGGGGTAGCCTAATGGTTAAAGCGTTGGCTCATCACGCCCGAAGACCCGGGTTCGAATCCCCACATGGGTACAATGTGTGAAGCCCATTTCTGGTGTCCCCTGCCGTGATGTTGCTGGAATATTGCTAAAAGCGGTGTAAAACCAAACTCAGTCAGTCAGAAGTTGCTGCTACTAGTAATTTTCAACAGTCGCTGGTGGTCATTTTTGGTGGTAGCTGGGGTAGTTGGGTAGCCTAGTGGTTAAAGCGTTCACTTGTCACGCCACAGATTTGGATTGAGTTCCCCACGTGTGTACAATGAGTGAAGCCAATTTCTGTTGCACTCTACTGTGATATTGCTGGAATATATTTAAAAGTGGCATACAACCTTACTCACTCACTCTAATTGGGCAAGCACTGGGTAAGTCTCAGGCTAATACATGCAGCTGTATTCATGCACCCCATGCTTATTGTATGTAGAAGTGCAGTAATCTTGAATGTGTCATTATACCATTTCACCTCACTATTGTTATGAAAGTGTGGGTTTTTTTGTAATTTGTAATATCACATTGATTAAGTGATAGTTATTATTGGTCACAATGTTGAAAGTTTTGAGTGTGGGTTTTGGCTCGCATCATACATGATGAATGGGAATAGTATTTGTAACGGCACGCCTTTTTGATAGCGCTTCAGAGTTGCCTCCCTTGGCTGGCTTTATATTGTTTTGACTTCTGGGTCTTGTCACGTCATGTGTTTTCCACGTGGTTCCATGGCGTTCTGAGAGAATAATGATGGAGCCTAGCTTTGCTAGAATGCTCAAGAACTGTGTAAGAGCTATATAAAGGCTGATTGTTGAGTTGTGTGCGGGACTTATCACATCACTGGATTTATACACGTCTGTCTGCCATCGTCGAGTTAATCAACATTTCAATACTGACCATGCTTGCCTATTCAACTGCTGTCATTGTAAACAACCTTCAATCAGTATATCTGCTCTCACTGTAAATTCAAGACTCTGGTGAGTTAATATTTGATTTTTGTGACCTAATATATTAGAATTGTGACTCAATTGGATTGAACTAGATATCTGTATTGTCATTCATTGTAGCTTGCTCATTGTTTGTTGAATATATTATTGAATATTTTAGACTTGTCTGTGTTCTATTTTGCTGGTTCAAAGGGGATTCTTAAACCTTTTGTCACGGCAAATTTATTAACCGTAACACTACACCAAAATGGATATATAATACATACTATCTTAGCCCTTATCTACAGTTTCATGAAGCTGAAAGTGCCCATCAATGACTACACCAACAGGGGTTCAAGAGGTTTTGCTCTGTTGCTTTCAAAGGTGACCATTGGCCTACAAACTGTTTAGAAATGAAAATTCGTTTTGTGTACTATGAACTTGTGATTTATATATGGGGTGTATTTTTGTATGTCTGTTGATTTTTACCTTTATTCAACAATTTTACAGTGTACATTACTTAAACATACACTTAATACTTTCATGAATCTGAAGGGGGCGATGGGATAGCCTAGTGGTTAAAGCGTTCGCTCATCATGCTGAAGGCCTGTGTTCAAATCTCCACATGGGTACCATGTGTGAAGCCCATCATGTCATAATGTTACTGGATTATTGCTAAAAGTGGCGTAAACCGTGTTCACTCACTCACTCATGAATCTGAAACTGACAGAATGAGGACCATTGTAAGGTTCAGTAGATGAGTGAGTGAATGTTGTCTGTGCCTGTGATCAGGGTGATTCGTAAACACATGTTCATGATATAGTCTGAACTTTTTTTAGCTGAGATTTTGCATGATTACAGAAATCTGTTTATGCCAAGGCATTAATATTCTTGCTATATCTCTGCATGCTGTAAATAATCTAGATTTGACCAAGAAACCCAGTTGCTGAAAAGCCACTATCCACGTGACTGGTGTTCTTATAAATACATACATCACCAAGAACAAATAGTCTGTCAATGAGGGTTTAGTCTGACATTATGTGGGTCTCACAGACACCAGACTCTTGAGTACCGCCTACAGGATAGGATGACCTTCACCTGTCTGGTCGCAAGGACAAGGATGATGTACTATAAACACTGTTATTCAATGTCTGTATTATTTTGTATACCACAAACTATGGCTGTAACGAACTCAAAGGGACCACAGAGTTCAGTTTGTTATAATCGTAGTTTGTTATAAGCATTTCAGTTCTATATATATACAGTTGTTGGGACAATAGCATCAGTTACAATAAACTATGGCTGTAACGAACTCAAAGGGACCACTGAGTTTAGTTTGTTATAACTGTAGTTTGTTATAAGCATTTCAATGATATATAAATATATACAGTTGTTGGGACAATAGAATCAGTTACAACAAACTATGGCTGTAACAAACTCAAAGGGACCACTGAGTTTAGTTTGTTATAACTGTAGTTTGTTATAAGCATTTCAGTTCTATATATATACAGTTGTTGGGACAATAGAATCAGTTCATTGTACATCTATTCAATATGTGTACATTATAAGTGTAGTTTATCTTGAGATTCTGAATATCAATACATGACTGTTCTAGCTATGTGATGGTGGCCTGTAAACAATTGAGTCTAGATTGGTCATCTTTTATTGATTTTCAACCACAGTTCTTAAAACCCATTAGGAAACTATTAAATAATTATTGAATGAATTTGTATGGCCAAGATGTGACTTTTTTTTAACCAGTGTTGAAAATTCCCCAAAATTACAGCCAGTCAACTGGTCCGGCAACTCTCCAAAGTTACCAGACCAGATAAAATGCTGCGAATCCAGAATTTTCTGGACTAACAAAAGTAACAGAAAGGTAAATGTGGGGAAGGAACTGTTCAGATTATTATACATAAATATGAGTTCAAGTCTAATACAGGCTTTGATTGGATAATTTCGATCACTTGGCCAATATCAAATGAGGACAGAAACACAATTATTATGTCAGAAACATTGAGGAGAATAAAGTACCTTTGGTCTTACAGTAAGTTAGAGTTTACATCGTATATTAGAATTGTTTGTATTGAATACATTACACAATAACAGTCTGAGGTGTGCTACTTTTTAAAACTGACATGCGGCCACAAAACAGACCGTCTCGGACTGTCGGGCAGGCGGGAATTTGCAACGATGAGTTCTGAACAGTACTGCTTTGAACAGTATTTCAATTCACCATGACCTTTCAGTGTAACCTTTACTGATGATTACTAATAAGTAACCCCTTAACATTAGCCCTCCCAGTGGTGCTGATAAGACATGTGACTTTCATCAGACCACCTGCGTCTGTATGGGTATTCTCCTACACTAACACATCATGATATACTGTATTTGTTGTAATATGCACCCCAGGCATGTTGACAATTTACAATGAAGGCCTCTTGATAAAACCATACACAAGAAAAATATGTTTTCACAGATTTATTGGTAGTGAACAAACGTAGTTCAAATATCGATGAAATATCAAATGATTTTGTTAATATTTTGGCAGGTATGTACTGCTGTTTTCTGTTATATCAACGCGATAATACGGACTGTCATGTAGGAGATGTATATAATGATCTAGAATTTGTCCAGGGGACACTTATTGAGGCAGGGTGCTAAATACACCAACTATGGTTACTTTAGTGTTCTTGAAATCAAATGTTGAAGTTGAGAACCAGACTCACTCTTGTTATATCATTGATACGTGTTTAACAGATCTAAACAAATAAATAGCTTCTACATGTATCTGCCTGTCAGTAAACATTGAACTGCCTCGTACCCAAGTGATTGACAGAAATCCATTTTTTTTCTTTCTTAGCCATATTGAATGTGTCGTTTTAACAAGGACATACTTCTATTAACAACAAGAATTGCATTCACTGGAATAGATTTTTGTGTCAGAATCAAGAGTTTGGGTCCTCAGCTTGAGCTGGTTCTCATCACTGCACACTGAACTGAAAAAGTCTGTTTATGGCTGGGAGCTGGCAAGGGGTTAGAAATTGATTTCTGGCTGGTGGAGGAGCTCTCTTACCTTCTGGAGGGTTGTCAGCATTGTAGTAATTAAAACAGACATTCATGAGTTCCCCAAACTGCTTGATCGAGTGTGAGGGGTAACAAGTGATGGTCTCTCAAACACCCCTAAACATCTTAATCTGATTTCAGGATTTGTATCAATACATCATCCTGACCTCATCCGGAACTTGTGGCAACTGTCACCTCCGCTAACTAGTGAAACACACTCCTTATTTGTTCCCTGGGCATAAGTCTATACTGCTTCACCAGACAAATGCCACACAAACTCCGACTTTTAGTGGAATTGTCCACTTGGGAGATTAATTGTGGTAATTTTCCCTAGCAGGCATTTGTGAAACTTGTTAGGCCCCAAAATGAATTTCCAGATTTGAGAGCAATCAGTGTAGAAGGGGCAACGCTTGGATGATAAATAAAGTCTAATTCTGGGTGTTTGTTCCTGCCTTGTCTGGGAGTGAAGTCAGCCAGAAAACTGTATTGAGTTTCTGTCATACCTTGTTTTGCTTCATCCATGATAGCTTTGATGCAATGCTTTGTACTTAATAGACCACTACTGTAGTCTTGTGTATGTAACAGTGCTTGTCATACATTCCCCTGACAAGAAC